CAGCATGCCGTGACTCGCGAGGATGCACAGTTGCAGCATTATCGACTAAACTTTTTTAGAACGCGTCCCGTCAGTGTCGATAACTCTCATTAAAGCGACCTAGAAAGCGACGCCTTGCCGCGAGATATCCAACAAACCGCAAATTACGTTAATAAACGCCCCCCGTTGACGCCTCCGCATGAAAACTTTCGTTTGTCCGTTGCTGGATCTCATCGTTAAAATTTCAAATGTGTCTGCTGTGATACACGAAGAAACATCTATTGATATATCCGTCGTCGTACGTTTACTTAAAGATCCTTTATACTTCAAAGGTAGTTTAAAAACCATCGCTTTACACCTCAAAGATAGTCTCTGTGGAGATAAAAAGCTCCTAAAGGAACATTTCTTTTATCTTCTTCCTTCCTTAAGTAATTCTCTCAAACGAAACATATTTCGGGACAGAATATGGTAGCTTATAGATATATGTATCTAAATAAATATGTAACAACAACATAGCGATACTGATCTGTCGTTAAGAGTTACAGAATCTGAATATTGGAATTTTAAATCCATACCATGTTGTTAATATTAATTACCTTTACCTAACATGGTAAGAATTATGTATCGCATGATATTAAATCCATACTGATATTTTAGAATGTGAAAAAAAAACATGTTCTTTTTGAAGAACATGTTTTTCACTTTTTATCTAATTATTAAGTGCCTTATAGATATGGAGTATATAGAGAATAGGAAGCCGAGCTAAGCTTTGAAAAGTATGGTCAGGTTTCTGAATTGGTATTGGTGGTGCTCAGTAGGCGGCGTTCGAATCGTAAAACTCCTCTCATATACGCACACATAACTGAACACACATAACCTAAGAATAGAGACGTTATTCTTTGACATCATGCTCTGACGGTAACAGAAAGACGTAAATCGTAATTAAAACTGCATGAAGAATGGAACATTCTTCATGTAAAATAAAAGAACGGTGTGGTTAAAGTCACTAGAACAAAGTATCGATGAGAAAATTCACTGAATTAGCATTTGAATGCCAAAATGGCGTCGAAGTGCTATCCTAACCTGATTCTGTTAAAACGTCTGAAATCCATACAGATTGCTGTGTTGAAAATTGCAAAAACCGCAGCAAAAAAGGCTAAAGTTTTGAATAACCGCACGTCATGAGGCCAAAATGGCGGCAGTTTGCGGTACTTTGTACTCTAGTGACTTTAGGTGTGGTGGAACGAAAGCGACATCTCGATCGAACTAATTCAGATGGCCACTTTTGATCAGATGGCCGCTTTTTGACGGCTTCGTCCATGTAGTTCGGCCTTCTATTCTCTATACTCCATGCTTATAGATCTGCATACACACGCAATATTCGAATCATTCAGGAAACATACTGTCAGTACTATTGCGTCATTAGCTATAAAGTTCAACAGAGAAAGCAGTTTTTCAAGTGTGTAAAACTCTTCGATATGATTGATTCATACAAGAGAGAATTTTTTCTTAGAGTTTATCCTGAAAATATGATAGTCATGGGACAATGTTGTATTTCAAGGAATTTTAATGTAAATCTCTCTTATTCATTAATAAAACTACAATAAAGTATAAAATAAATTTGATTAATTTTACTGAAATGCATAGTAAAAATCTTTAAAAATTGTATTGTACCACAACTACTATATTTTCAGGATAAATTTTAAAGGATAATTCTCTCTGTATATTTAGATCCATGAGGAACCAAAGACTGAAAGTAATCATATTAAGGAATTTCACGCAATTACGAAGTTGCTTTCTCAGCAATCATTAGGCCTTATATACATTTCTCATGCAAACACATAATGTTAAATCAATATCTCAGGAACGTTGAATCGCAACATTACGAATATTGCATCAACATCGTGAAATAGATATAGATTTGATATCTGAGGTACTTTTGAAGTATCTAATAGGTAATCTGTATACTATATATGTATATTTTAATTTGTGTATCTGTATCATTTTAAGGTATCTTACTCGTCACTGCTATGAGGAAGGAGAAAAGAAAGATCTATTGTCATTCATTTTCGCACGTTTAACGTGCGATCGCATGCTACATTTTGTGTGAGTGATCAACACGTGTTATATGAAAATCAAACTTTCGATTTCATCGCACGGAAGTTTCTTCAAGGCGAAACCTCAAATGCTCGAATTGTGGGTATTTCGTTCTGATAGACACATCGAGAGGTAGAATCGTAAATATTACTGGCCTGCGAAAAAAGATCGTAGAAAATCCGCTGTTTACGTGTGTCCGTAAACACGAACCGCACAAAGTTTTCAGTTTACGGCTCGACGAAATCACGTTGAAAAAGCAAATACTCGACGCGTATATCAGTTTAATAGCCTTACGTGATAAAACTAGAAATGTTATCTCCATATAAACAAAAAAATATCTATTGCGTAAAAGACTGATTTATATCTGCATTTTGTCTCAGATTGTTTGACTTTCTTTAACTTGAATTATCACGATAATAATTAGAATGAGGAGATTCAGACTACAGGTACAGGTTTTTACGGAGAGGAGAAACTAAAAGTAGAAAAGTTATTTTTACTCCGTAAAATTCAATAAATAATTGCACAAAAGTACTCCAATGCTCATCAAATAGGTAAAAAAATAAATTAAATTAAGATTGAAGTTAATCTACGTTGGTAGAAATTGGTCTAAAAGATCCTCAAAACTTCCAAGAGTTCGGGCAGTTCCAAATAATGTCAAAACTTTATTGAGCAAACTACGAAAATCGTGCAGTTATTATATTATCGTCGAACGAGCAATCTAATCTACGGACAAAATCCACATGATAGAGATACAAAGACTGTAAAATAAAATGTACTCGAGATAACAAATATTGCGATTTCTCTCTGCAATCACGTAACACGTCTGTTGTCTTCAGGTTAAACAGAAGTTTATAATCCACGTCGTGCGAGAAACGCGACCCAAGATGTTCCATTTTCGTATCTAGAATCGTAGGATATTCTCATCATACACTCAGCGCTAGACTTTGTCTTTCTTCCCTTTCACGTACATGTCGTGCAAGTTCGGATGTGAAATAGAAGAGTAACGATCGATGACAGTCGGTCGTATTTAATCCCGAATAAAGCTTCGTTTTCTTCAACAATTCAATTCAACTTCTCAATAGGAGCACCTGAAATAGTCGCGTATACTATACGCGATTGTTATATTTAAACTTTAAAGAAAAGGACATGCTAGTGGCAACCATATAGTGGTGACAACTGTATAGTTTTATATCTACAAGCATATATTATGAACTTATATATATATATATATATATATATGTAACTATATATTTATATCGATAAATTTTATATAGAATTAATGTACATAATTAAATAAACTGTTTTATGATTGCAATAACTACAAAATAATTTAACTATATATATATGAATACATATAATTATTAATCAGATTTGGCAACATCCGCAGTTATTATTAATGCTAACGTAAGCTATCGTATAAACGCTAGTTAAATTCGGTTTTAACAACTGAACTTTAAAATCGGATTTAACTAATATTTCTGCTCTCAATGGCTCTCTGACTCTAAAAGGTCAAGTACCATCTCCAAGTATCATAAACTAGCGATTCTACAGCATTTTACGTCAGCAATTAATAACTACGAATATTACTCGAGTAATAGTAACATGCAAATGTGATATACATTAATTCTACATAATATAAAACTTGTATGATTGCTATCTTTATAGTTGTTACCACTATATTTTTCGAGTGTAAAGAGACAGTTTTATCTGAGAAAAAATTTGTAGGATCAAAATTATAGGAATTAAGGACGATATTTCATCGAGGCGTATTTGAATTTCATTGCAACAATGACTTTGATTTTAAAGTTCCGGAGCGCATTTAAACACGCTTTGACTTTTAAGCCGTCGTCATTCACCACCTTGGCACGATTAATAACGTATTACCTTTGTATTACAACCGTGAGAGCCGAGAGGCGGCGGCGAATCGTTAACTCGTGTTTAATTAAATCTGTCTGTCACGCAAATCAAATTCGGTCTTAATGAGCATCATTGTGAGTCAATCGACCGTTCATCCTTGAACACAGTTTAGGAGAAATTTCAGGTTTATCGTTGACCGTATTACGAAAAGTGGTTGACTTATAGTTTGTCCAATCGATGAAGGACGACCGTGATCAAAAAGCAGTGACGCCGATTGAATGTTCCGAGTTTTATATCGCCAAGTGCGATAGAATTTCTCTCATTGACAGACATACAGGCTTTCAACGTATTGCAATCTATTGATGAAACATCGTCAACGATGTAAAATTATTATTTAAAAAATCGAATATATCACTTCTAGAAGGATAACCCAAGGTATCTTTGCAACAGCCGATCCAAGCAAGTTGGCAAGTTTTTCGGAGCAAATCTTTCACAGCTGGGGTCATCGTTACCGTTACTTTGTCTCGGAGTTACTTGTCCAATCATCATGTAAACATCAATTAGCGTCAACTATATACTAATCACTGTGCCGCGTGAGTCATCCATTATCGACCGCGACGGAATCCGTATTCTAAAATGAAGTCTCCTTGTCCTCGGATGGAGAATCGGGTGAGTCAAAGCAGGAACGAGATAATCGGAAGACTCTGACTGGACTCGGCAGGTCGAGGACGATGATACACCAAGAGTCGCAGGAAAGGAGCGAATCGTATTCTAACGTGAAGTCTCCTCGTCATCCTCGAACGGAGGTTCGGGTGAAATTAAATGGGAGTGGAATGATTGGGAAACCTTGATTGAATTCGGCGTCTTGTAAGGAATGATGATACACCAGGAGTCGCAGGAAAGATGTGAGTCGTCGCGTGCGCGAACTCGGGTCGTATCAGTCGTATGGTTGTCGCGAGTCGCTGATCGAAAAGTGCGCTAGAAAGTCCAGTTTGTATGTGTGTTCGAAGAGAAGGAAGAGTGAGAGAGAGAGAGAGAGAGAGAGAGAGAGAAGGAGAGGGACTCACCTGCCTGGACCGTGACGAGGGTGCCCACCGCTAAATATAGCATCCCCAGCAGCACAAAAGCGGCTCGCCTCTCCATCCCGGTGGCGCTGCTGCCGACGTACGCGGTGGCGCGTGACCGTGTGCACCGTGCACGGCAATACGATAACCAACGACGAGCACGATGCCCCACCTCGTCGTCGTCGTCGTCGTTGCGGAGCGAGAGAGGAACCTACGCGGCACCTGGACGAGCGATGATGCTTGTTGCCGCGTTGATGGGCCGTCGTACACAGGTATAGCGTGTCGTCGTTGTCGTCCCCGTCGTCCTTGTCCTTACCGTTGTCGTTACCACCGCGACTTCCCGTGGCCGTCACCTCGTCAATATTCTCGGATGGTCCGTTAAAACCGCGAACTCTCTTTCCGCACCGATTGTGCGCAACAGACGATTGGATAGTTCGCGCGAAAGCGCCCGTCACACCGCTGCTGCTGCTACTGCTGCTGCTGTTGCTCCACCTCCTCCTCTTCTTTCTCTTCTTCTTCTTCTTCCTCTTCCTCCTCCTCCACCTCCACCACCTCCTCCTCCTCCACCTCCACCTCCTCCTCCTCCTCCTCCTCTTCCTCCGCCACCGATATCGCCGCTGCCGTTGCCGTCACGATCTATCACTGACGTTTGATCGTTCGTCTTATCGTTATCTCTGTACTCTTATCTTAATGCGCACTACACAGTAACCGTCCAGGTGCCGTCGCCGCCGTCGTCGTCGCCGTCGTCGCCGCTCCGTCGTCGTCGTCGCTCCCTCCACCACCGCCTTCTCCTTCTTCTTCTTCCTCTATCTCTCCTTCTCCACGTTACCGTTGTCGATTCACCTTTTGGAAGTGACAGAGGGGGGAAGAGAGAAAGGCACACAGATCACTATAACGGATAAACACAGCGCGAGCCACAGCAGCTATACTAACTGCGGCAACGTCAGAAGAAAAATGGCGATCGTTGTCTTCTGCTCGGGGCCTCTTCCTCCTCCTCCACCACGCAAATATCCGTCTCGTTCTGTCACGCGCCAATCGACTTCCCCTCCACTTTGCCATTTTCTCTTTTTCCGATAAAGGTGCAAATCACAATAGAAGAAATAAGGAATTAGAAATAAGGAATAAAGATTTCAACCTACCAGATATCGGATACACCGGAATACACGGTTTCTGATAGGCTGGAATTATTATTTTTCATTCTTTGTTCTCCTTTTATTGTGACTGCACTTTAACTGTGCGAATTCTACGGTTTCTACGGTTGCGCTCTCTGCAGCGACTCGCGATCCTTTTAAGCTTAATTCACACGGTCTTTAAAATTCACAAGAAATTTGAGGCGATTTAACTTGAAGTTACGTCTGTTTCTGCCAATGGCTGCGTTCAGCAGAAAAAGTTTTGCAAGTGTTGTAAGGGACTCCGCACAATAAAAGGAACAGGAAACAGAGAACAGAGAATAAGAATTTCAACCTATCAGAAATCATGTATTGTGGAATACACAGTTCCTTTTATTGTGCAAAAATAAAATTCTGTGATGTGATTGGTCTTGCTCTTCGTAATCGACTTGTTCGGTTTTATAGACTCAGTTTTTAGAGTCATCGACAGATGACGCTAAAATTGGAGGCGTAAAGATTATTTTACATTTAAATCCCCTAGTTCAAGTTTAAATCCCTTGATAAAACGCAACAAAACGAACGAGATCTGTGTTTGACAACTTGGCGCATTATGTTTCGGATGAAGAATTTCGTACATCGATAATCGCTGTCACGTAAAATCGTGCACGATTGCAACAAAGATCTGCAAAATTTCCGTTTCTTTTTACTAATGAGGAGAACACAATGTTGAAGTACATTTTTCCTGTTGCGATAATCGTTCTCGCCTGCTTGTCACAGCAATCTGAGGTTAGAATGCTTTTTTACGGTTGAATTAAATCCAGTTCACTGGTATATTTAACGACTGTGAATGATTTTAGGCGCAATATGATGACAAGAGGTGCAAGTGCATCTGTCCGAGCCTTTCTTCCGTTATAAATACGACGCAGTCGACCGAACGTCTTACATACATTATAAATGTACCACCATTACAATGGTAATTATTGGTGTCTTCCAACAAGAGATTAAATCATCTCATCTACAATATGTTCTTTACTTTCTATTTCTTGTTTTTTACCTCATGTTGTTTTCTTTGCAACCGTTTTATTGATAATGACATTTCTTTTCACATGTTTCTCGTCTTTTCGAAGTTTGTTGACTTTTATCTTGGGCAACAGGAAACAAAAAAACTGATAAAAGACAAAAAGGCAAGAAGTAAAAACAGGAAACAGGAAACAGGAAGCGAAGAGCACAATGTAGATAATTAACAATATAGCTTGATCTACATTGTAGCTTATTAGTGCTTTCCAGCAAAAGACAGTAATTATTTCATTTTTATTTAAGTGGCACACAAGAATGAAATAATACTCTGTGTTACATTGTAGATTCTTTTTATTTGGTGGCATAAATCGACACAAGTGTTATTCTACCATTGCTATTCACTGAATGTCAAAAAAGATAGAATGATGTTTGTGTCGATTTGTGTCTCTAAATGGAAAACATCCTATGTTATCTATATTCCTTGCTAGAAAACAAATCCAATATTTTATATAAATTAATAAGGCCCTATCTATGCAACTGAGTTTTTCAGCTAGAAGTCACAATTAAACAGTGTCAAAAAAGAAGCATTATGTAAAGTTATTTATTGTTTAAACAGAACTGCCAAATTTTTACAGTACACTGAAATTTGTTTTTTAAATAATTGGTATATTTAACACAAGAGCTTCAACTCAGCTTTTTGGTTGTATTTATCAGTGTTGTATCATTGTTGAAAAGCAGTGTATTGAACATTATATCACTTTGTATTGCTTATGTCCTTTGTTGGAAAGCTTCCATAATTTACTTCTTAATTTTCATCAATATAATATAATCATAATACACATCTAATTTGTAGCAAATGTGAAAGTGTTGTTCTGCCGAAACTTGGTGACCAAATAAAAGGCAAGGAAGAGGTATTTTGCTCACGATGCGACTGCAAATATGAAAACAGGAACACTACTATTATTAAGGTATTTATTTCTTCATTGACAAACTTCATATCATCATTTTATAGACCATTTAACAGAAGAATTTATATTGCAGATCGTGGTGATAATAGTTATATGGGTTATCTCATTGTTAGTAATTTATATGTTATTCCTAATTTGTCTGGATCCACTGCTTAACAAACGGATACACAAAGCGTCAGCAAATATCGGTTATCATGAACATAATAATGAAGAAGTAAATATATCATCAATTTTATTTTTCTCTCCAATAATGATAGTACGATCACTCGCATTACATTGGATTAGTTCACATTAAAAATTGCTTTATATAAAGTATTTAAATACAGTAGCATAATATAATCAACTGTGAAATATGGAAATAATACATGTATATTCTGTCAAACAATGTGATATATCATTAGATATTTTATCGTTCAAAATATTTATGGTTTTACATTTAACTTTACTAATTTCATATTATAGCAACTCTTAGTATACTGTAATGTATACTAGTAATCTCTTAGTAATCTATAATGCAAGTGACCAAATTTATTGCGTTCGAATATGTAAAATAAATGTAACATTTAACAACTAAACACTATACTTATACATAATTATCTGTATGATATATGTTTTCTTTTTTTATTTTACAAAGGATGATTCATCTCTCGCACCTGGTACGTCTCACCCAATGGGAGAAAGGGGCAATGTTTTGAATCGTGTTGGACACCAGCAGGACAAGTGGAAGCGACAAGTTCGAGAACAGAGGCGGAATATTTACGATCGTCATACTATGCTGAATTAAGTCAAACAGTCTGTTTCCTAAATATGTAAAATATCCAAACAGAATACTTCTAAATGTGACGACAATTTATTCGTCGACGATCCTTTCGAAGTAAACCTCTCGCGAATAGTTTGTAAAAATATAATTTGTTACAATAATAAAGTAACATTAAATGTTAGCGACTATTTTTGACAATTATTTATTTTCATAAAATTCTATCCAGTACTGTCACGATTAATATAAATGAAAACTATATATATATATATACACACATATATATATATATATATATATATATATATATATATTCAGAGATTTTATAATTTTAAGTAATTGTGAATATTTCTGATAATATTTATTCTATATGTGCAGAAAAATTTAATATATAAATTATATCACTATAAAACTAGTTCCGATAATTTTTGCACCACGATTTTTCAAAAGAGTTTTTTTAACTATGAAAACAAAAAAAAGCAAATTTTTATATATTTTATAGAATCTTTTTAATCATATTATTTATTATATGCACTTATCTGAAAATCTTCAGATAATTATGTATAAAATTCGAACGCATCTTAATCGTATATATTTTATAAGACAAGCTTTTATATGTTGCAATAAGACTTACTAAATTCCTAAGGTTTTCAGTCTTTCAAGATCGTTTTCTCAAGCCAATCTTTGATTGCATCGTATAACGTTAAGACGAGAGCACCACCGGTGCCACGAAGAATATTGGAGAATGCACCTTTGAAGAAAGCTTTGGGACCTTCGTTTTTTGTTATTTTTATCCAACAATCGAGTGTATTTTTGTACATTATGTCAACCTTTTTTCGCCCTGATTGCATCATCATTCGTCTTCTAACTGTATCGAAAGGATAGGATACGATACCCGCTAACGTTGTTACTATCTACAAAGAATGACACTTACATAATAAACAATTATTGCAGAAAGAAGATCTCTTTTTACCTCGGCGATTATAAAATTCATGTATAATGGTGTGCTCTTCGGGTCGGCTAGCATACCCCTCACAGTATCATAAAATCCGAAGTACGTTGCACGATATATAACGATTCCTTGCACGCTGACATTGAAGCCACGATAAAGTCCAATAAATCCATCCGATTTAAAAATCTTCATTATACAGTCATTTATACCTTTAAATTCTCGTTTCGCACCTTTTCCAACATCGACAGCTAATCTAAAAAATTACACTGTCCTATGCAGACTATCTTAAAATTTAACTGTGCCACAATATTGTTAATTTTTTTTTTAGCAAATTGTGCCATTTGCGTTACATTAGATTAGTGTAAAAAATTGTATGTGAAATTAACAAAGTTAAATGTAAAAGCATATAAATATATTAAACGATTAAATATTCAATAATGGTATTCACGTTATTTAATATATATGTTATTTAATAGAATATACAATTACTTCATTGTCAAAGTTTATTATATTATATCATTGTATAATATTTAGATACTTACAAAACGGCCTTTAATGTGCACTATCTATAGTACAAGTAACCAAATTTATCATTATTGTTTTTATTTATAAAACATCATGAAAATTTATATAAAAGTATGAATAACATATAATTAAGCTTTGTAATATTCTATGTGCATGTAAAATGTACCTGGTACGGGCAAGGTCAAGCGGATACACAAATACAAGCGACGTCGCACCAGCAGCACCGCCAGCAGCTAGATTTCCAATGAACTGTCGCCAGAAAGCATCTGGCGGTACGTTTCCCAGAAAAATGACCTTAAATTTATCTTTAAATGCAAAATTAAGCGCTTGAGTCGGAAAATATCGTAGAACATTAGCGAGATTGCCTCTGTAGAAACTAAAGAATCCTGTTTCCCGAGGTATACGTACAAGTGCGTCTACCATACCTGATAAAAGTTCAATGAACGTAAGAATGAGAAATTAACGAACGAAGAATGGAGATCATTTCTTACGCGATGCATCAAAACGGTGTAACCATTGTAATTACCCTTGTATTGTTGTTCAGGTCTAATTTGCTTCGAGGCATGCTGCACTTGCAGCAACAACTTCACTCTTTCTAGAGGAGCAACCGCTGTCTTCGCAATCGCTGCGGACAAACCGCCTGCTATAAAATCTAACAGAAAAGATTTGTACATATCCATTTTTCTCGGGGGTTGCCAAAAATCAACAGATTCTAAGATATTAACAGTCCATCATGCGGATCGTATTAAAATCACGAAACATTTGCATATTTTTATTTATTTTCCGTATGTTTTTAAACGTTAATATCGAAATATTACATATTTTTGCATTATCTGTCATGGAAATGAAATGTAATGTCAGAACTACTATGCTACTTGACGTCATTTGTTTCGTCAGTCTGCTAGAAACATTGCTTAAAACAATTGGAAATTCTTTGAAAATACCCTAATGTCCATTTCTATGAATGAAGATTAACTTCAATTTCGGTTTAATTTACTATTTGCGCAAAAAATTGAGAAAATTTCATATTTTCAATTTTTTATCTGACGTCATTGACGTTTATTAAAAATCTAAAATAATTTGGAAGGGTTCCGATAGCGCACATCGCTAATTGGCCAATTTATAAATAATATAGAAATAAAATATTCTCATTAATAAAGCAGTGAAAAGTTATCATGAGCAGTGGCCGATGTAAGTGAGTGTGTCATTCGCTAATGAGAACCTTTCAATAATTTGAAGTGAATAATGTTGAAAAGATATTGTCAAAAAAAACATGAAGTTAGTCACTTAATTTTCACTTAAACATTGACAATTATAAACTTAGTGAATTAAAAAAAATATTTCTTGATTGAAAATTACTGATTTTTTCATAATTTTTCGAATTAGAAAAATTTTTCTGGATTAGAAAAAAAAATTGCAATAAAAAATATTTTTTATTACCATTATCGCAATAGTAAGTCTATTTAGATTTAGACTCGAGATATTTAAATTTTGTAAAATGCGAGACAATTGCAAACGTTTCTGAATTTATGAACAGTAAATGTACACAAAAAATTAAGAAAAATGAGTTTTTTGTAGAAAAATGAGAAAAAGTACATATAAAATATATTATACATAGAATATGTATACATAGAATATCTATTATTTAATTTTTATTATTATACAATATATAATATTAACAAAGTATATGCATAGTATATGTATAGTTAAATTTTAATTTATAAATACAATTTTACCTTTGTATGAAATCTTTATTTTTGTAAAGCGCAATCATTCAGTTTCACAATTTTCCACTTTTAGATTTTTTGTTTTCTCTATCTAAAAACAATTTTTAAATCATTACTAATATGTTATATTAAAATTAACTAAATTTTTGATACACAAATTATTACGTATTACACGTAAATAAGACGGAATTGTAATGCATTTTTAGATGCAAAAAATTATCATTTTCATTTCTTACTGTTGTTCCAGTCAGCTTCTAAAATATAATGTAAATTCCTAATACATTGCAAAAGATCTTGCGTATTATATTTAAATATATACTTATTTATTATTGCCATTTACCTCTTGTGATATCGGAGATAGCTGAAGAGATTTCTTCATTTTTAAATTGGGTGGTTGCGTGATCAACTTTTAGACGTTAGCGTTTTATCCGTTTTAAGTTGCAGATTTTTTTGTCAGGCAGGACTTTGTGCCTTTTATACTATTCGATACTATATGATTATAATTTCCCATTTGTCGAATATTCTCCTTGTAATAAAATAATTTCGAATACGAGCGTGGCGTAGCAGGCAGAGCACGAGATTGCTATACCAGAAATTCTGGATTCTCGATCCCAGGCAAAACTGAAAAATTTTCAAACGCTCGTAGTTTCTCTCGGCAGGCAATAGCAAATCACCGAGAGTACCCTTACCAAGTACACTTCTCTAAATAAAATCATCGTTCGGAATCGACGTTAAACTGTAGGTGCTTTTAGCGAGATTAAAGTTAATTTACATTGGTCTTATGCCCATTTCTACCAACGCAGATTAAAACTTTAAATTTGGTTTAATTTGTTCTTCGTCTTTTTCTAATTCTTAGAAAGAAACAAAGAGTTAGTTAAATCAAGATTAAACTTGAATTTTATTAGTAAAAACAGGTATAATGAACATTATAATAATAAATGGACATTAAACACTTAAAAATAATTAAAAATGATTTATTGCAATATTGTAGAACGAATAAAATGAGCAAGAAGAGACACAAACGAATTATGTTCGTAATATTTACTTGTGTCATTGTTTTACACAAAAATCGAATATATATTTGTTTAAAGTTTTATGTCGGTCAATAAATGTATGTAGTCAGAAGCTTTATTCAAAAGTTACAATTATATGACTTTTTATAAATGACTGGATCATAGTAATTTATGACTTATATATATATAAACATGGGATAAAATATATTACTGTTTCTTTCATTTTGTATCGTATACAGAAAATAGAATGTTTATGCCAAATGTTACATATAAATTTATCTCAAGGACTAGAAGAAAGATCTCTTTATGTGAACGATATTAAATACATTACTTTCATCTCTAAATAGATGCTTAATTATATTTGTAAGATACACATGTAATAGAATATCTGAAGAAATGGCATTCGGCACATATTGGCATAGAATTATAGATAAACAGGGAGACCATCATTGGCTCTCAAGAGATTCGACAGAGAGAACGCACACACTTTTTTTTTTATTTAAAAATTGAGTTAGGAAAATATATACTAAGTAGTTAATAAAATCTTATAGCGTTTTCTCTTAGTTGCACTATCGCCCACTAATGCAACACTCAGACAGTGTACCATGTTTCCATGACTGGTGGTAAACTCATTCGGTGTTTGCAAATTTTGTGGCTACGGTGTAGTGCAAATTTTATGTACGAAGTGAGATTTTCACCGTCTCAAATGGTGTAGACCCAGTGTGACATTTAAAATTTGAAAATGGAAGTCAAGCGGGAACAAGCGCAATAATGATGTAGTGTACATCATTCATGTGCATCACTCTAGTGTAGTGTAACTGAGTGTAGCGCTTACACGCAACTGGTGCGATGCGAGGTACCCAGTGTATCCCAAGAGAAAACGCTATTAATTAAAAAGTGATTGGTATAAAAATAATATTATACTCCGTTTAACAAGAGAATGACCCCGAAAACTCATCCGTTTTGTGCAGGTCTTGTAATAGCGTCTTGTACAACCTTACGTTGCCTGCTATGCGCAAATCGAGGTCTCTCGTTGAACAGAATATAGTAATATAAGCAAGAGTAATGCTATGCCACACTTTCACTGTCTAGATTAGTAAAATTGAAATTAACAAATAACAAAATTTCTTGTGCGAGGTACTGTATTCTTAAAATCAGGGCTGATATATATTTGAAATACTTTTATTTGAAAAACAGTATTTGTAACACAATTTTTGTATTTTGTACTTTGCATTTTAGTGGAGCACAGAATACGTAATATGATTACAGAATACGTAATACCTTCATATCCTCCGCTGAAATACAAAATATATTTGTGTTGCAAATAGTGTATTTTAAATAAAAGTATTTCAAACACATTTTATGGCCCAGACCTGCTTAAGTTTTTGTAATAAAAATGAAAGATCATTTATACACTAATTGATTAACTAACTTTCGAAAGTAAAATGCATCAATTTGGGCTCACATACACAAGTAATCTACACAGATGTTATAAAATGGCAGTGAAAGTGTTAAATTTTCATAATACAGAAATTCCAATACTCAATTAAACTTAGCCTACATTATAGGGCAAGATGTTTAAAGTAAATGTATATATAATAAAAGAATCCATTAAATACTTTTTATAAATGTACATTGAAAAACATTTGACTAGGAAAATTATTCAATTTTCCTTCATATCGCACATTTACGCAGCGTGTACCGACTGAAAAAGAAAATTTATGAATGATAATTTTATCTTAGATTTTTATAAGCAAACAATCATAAGTTTTATGCGTACCTTCGCAATGTCCACGCCCGTCAAATTTTTAACAAGATCTGGAACACGCTGTACAATATTGAAAACTTCCTCGGTTAGTTTTTCGGCACCAATAGTGCCATTACCACTTGAAACCATAGTTATCTTTTTTGCTTGAGAAAGAGGAGCGGCTACTTCGGCGGCAACCTATAAAGTGAATTGAAATTAGAATATTTATTATTATTATTAGAGCGCTTTTAAATGTTGCAAAGATTTATATACCTTTGGAAGTGTATCAAGCATCATGTCTATCATGGCTGCGCTCTTGTACTCGTTCCATGCCGCAGCTTTCTTTGCCATTTGTTCTGCTTCTGCCTTAGCTTTTGCTTCGATAGCGAAGGCTTCCGCCTCACCGCGAATCTTAATAGCTTCAGCTTCGGCTTCAGCCTCCATAACAAGACGCAATTTATTTGCTTCGGCCATTTTCTCTAATCTATAAATCAAATCTTAATCGATGTGCGCAACGAAAGTTTCATTTTTAGCATTATCGAATACCTGTATTTTTCTGCGTCAGCAGGACGTCGTACAGTGGCATCTAATTCCCTTTCGCGTCTCAACATTTCCTGCTCTTGCACGGCGATCTCCTGGCTACGTTCTACAACCTTTACTTGCATTTGCTCTTCCATGATCCTTTGTTTAGTTTTTGCTGCTTGTAGTTCGAATGCCATTTCTGCGTCAGCTTTCTACAAGTGATATCTTTATAAAAAAACTATACAAAAAACATTTCATACAAAAAGCATTAAAAATTTCCTCACTTTGGTTTGGACTTCAACATCATAAGCAGCCTTTTTCAATTCAAAATCACGTTGCGCTTTTGCAATCTCTGTGTCATTAAGGAAACGTGCAGCCATTCTTTGTTCCTCGGCGATAGCTTCTCTAATTTGAGCGTCTCTGCGAGCTTCTGCTTCACCTATTCTAGCATCTCTCTTCACTTCTGCTGTACGTGCCATACCGAGTGCTTGTAAATAACCCTATAAGTAATATATTCTCATAAAATTATTACACAACGTGATAAAGTTTACAATAATACAATAGCTAATAAATGATTTCAGCATTTTGAATAAGCAATATCTGAGCGACATAAAGCAACATATATAAGTATATATCGTTATTCCAATTCAATTATTGAGATTCCTTAAATATAAAAATTTGAGGATACATGGGAATAAAATAATATTTTATATAATTATTTAACATAATGTTAAGACATTTGCAAAAATTATTATTGTTATTTTTATTTTTCTAAAATTATATATTTAAAAAATAAGATAACAATATCTTCATATTTTACCATTTAAAGATATCTCAGTAATGAATCAGCAACAAGTGCACAAGTGTTGTAATATAAAGCAATGAAAATTTGTCTTTTTATAATCTGAAGAATTTACAATAATATTGTTAGAAGATATAGCGGTGTGCGCTGTGATATCAGTTACAAAGCTAATATTTCATTTGTCGTATGATAATTTGTCAAGTAAAGCTATAAAATAGAGAAGTCTCGTCTCCAGAAATTTTCTATTTTGTAACTAATCAATATACCTAAAAAATTTATCGTACAACAAATAAAATATTAGTTTAATAGTGATAAAATAAAAATTTGAACGTACCTTTGCCCCCTGCAAGTAGCAGAACAAAAAAGTATTCAATATTTACAATATACAAGATCTAATTATGTTAATTACTTAAAAAGTTCATACTCACGTATCAATTATTGACAAACATTATTGAATTGTCTAAAGGGGGTCTTTTAAATATCATTGTATATCTATATATATTTATGTACACTATGTACACTATGTACACTTCAATAATTCAATTATGACTTGTACATGTTATCAGCATTATTTTTCTGAATTAAAGATTTTGGATGCTTACGTGTTTAACTCATACATTTTTGTGTTTATAAATCAGCAACCTGTTTTTGAACTATTTTACAATTAGAAATGTAGCAAACTTACTTCTTCGTCTCGGATATCTTTCAATGTGTATGATACAACAGTAATGCCCATATTGACTAGATCACTGCTCGCTACTTCAAAGACTTCCTTGCTAAACTTTTTACGATCTTTGTAAATTTCCTGCAGCAAAGAATAAGCCTATGTGTATAACCTTTAATAGATAACAATTTAGGATAATTTATGTTTGCATTCAGCTTACCTCTACAGTCATACTACCCATTATAGCTCGTTGATGTCCTTCTAGAGTGACGAGAGCTATATTGTGTATCTCGTCTTCAGATTTTCCAAGAAACTGCTCACACGCCGTAGATAGCATCTCTTCATTTTGTCCTTGAATTTTTACCTGATACAAATACAACATTTTGAAATCTATGAATGCTAAATTCATTTAAAGTTAACTTAAAGTTCTTTATAACACATTTAAAAAGCTTTCTTTTTTCAAAAATTTATATATTATGCATACATCAATAAAATGTCCAGAATCATTTATTGACTTTATAACTTATATTTTTATATATTATAAATGTCAATCATCTTTATATGAATCATTTTCGGATCTAATTTCGGATCTAAGATCTAATTTCGGATCATGTATATCAATGTACATGTAAATAGATATAATATCTTGTAGATATATCATATATAAAAGCCAATTGTTTTTAATTACCTGTGCAATGCCTGTTACAGATATTGGAACTCCTTGACAAGTGTACACTGTTGGACTCTCGACTTGTAAGGTCATTGTATTTAAAGAAATCCTATAAAAGCAAAATACGTTTAAGCCAAAGAAGGCTTATTGCATGCTGTCTATATATTGAAAACTTATATGACACTCACTTTTGTACTTGTTGCACAAGGGGCCAAACAAACACTCGGCCTCCAGGTACCAAGAGAGGTTTGCTGTAGCAACATCCTGGAAGAAGCAGTTAATATAAAATAATAAAAGTAGAAAATTGACAATATGGAGAATTGCAAAGAAAATGTTTTTGATTCAGCCAATATTAAATTAATATAAATAAAAAAATCGAGCTGCAGATAATTTTATGTGTATACAATCGAGCGGTATTCAATCATTCGCATATAGCAGACGATAATCTAATACATTTCTAATGCGATCAAAGCACAGTATAGGTGCGGTTGTTCCGAATCGATCTCGCGTTTCCCCACCGCCGTTTCGAAACACGGATCAATTATCTAGGAGCCTCAAGCGCTTCTTCCATTTTTTTTTTCTTTTCTACGAAAGCAATTAATTCGGGGAAAAATACAAACGTAAGAGATTGAGATATCCATGCAGTGTTCAGAAGAGACTCCTTGCTCCATTACCTGAGACGACGAGAGCCTCGTTCGGGCCACAAGTGACGAATCCACAACTCATAATTATACGTCAACGTAACTACGGCCACTATGCGTAAAGACCGTGAGCTTCACGCAGTCAAATGACTGACGTCGACGTGCCTGTCGTACTTAGCAATATAACGCGTATGTATAATGTCAATATATGTATATATACGCGATAGCGCAAAATCCTCCCCTCTCTCTTGCCGCCAGCGTTTTCCTCCTTCCCCTAAGGTTACTCTGGTTGGTCCAGAATGCAGCGCGCATGAGCATAGAGAGACATATGAATAAAGTCGGAAATTTTTTAAGCAGCTTGCACGCGATATGTCTCTTTCTTGAAACCTGACACTTTTATTGAAACTTGACTGTCTGAATGAGAATAAGGAAGGTCTCGTGCAACGAGCAATTCGGTTATATAATTCGCATTTATTTTCTATGCAGTATTAAGGTATACTAATTTACTACAAAAAAAAAATAATTTACGAGATATTTTATATTTCCTATACCAGAAAAAAACATAAAATATCTCGTAAATTGATTTTTTTTATAATTCTGTACTTTGATATTTTTATACTTATATATATCGAATAACTAGAAGAATGATATAATTATGTTGTATAATATTAAAAAAATTATATAATTTTATTATTTAATTTTTAAAAAATAAGAGACCTTTAGTCTCCAAGGTTACTCCATCTAAAAAAAGTGTCGTCATAAAATTGCTTCTGTATCATATAATTTCTATTAGATTTTCTCTTATTCTCACAGTTTGGAAGATATTCAAGGTAGTTATAGTTATTGCCTTATCTTGTATAGTAATATTATAGATATGGTTGTATTTGGTTTGAGCTGAAAGCTTCATTCTATCTTCTTTCTATAAATAATGAATGGTAAAGACAGAATGAAGCTTACAGCTCGTGAGTAAATGCAGTCTACATTTATAAGTAGTTATTACTATATATTATTACTATATATATATATATAGTAAAAATTACTATTTACTACATAGTAATAAAATAATTAATAGCAGTTATATTTCAATACATATCTTCCAAGTTCTTCACAAAATCCTAAAATTATCAAAAAATATATTTCGATAAGAAATTTTCAGAATTAAATTGTTACAGTGAGAACAAATCTCTTTTAAGCCTTTTGATGTAAATAATGTATGCAAATAAAAATAAAACTGACATCATATTTCATTGTTCTTTAACTTTGAATTGCAGTTAAAAAAAAACATCCTATGTTAAAAATGCAACGTTTAGATATATCCAAAAAGATATATAATAACACAATAATACAATTTGATTTAAAATCGCCTGAATTGCTTTTTAAATCTCTCATAATGGTAATCGTCCGTTGCTTTCTCCCCATTGTCTTTTCGCTTTCCTCGGATATCTTCTTTGGTAGTGCATTTTTTCTTATCACCAGACTCTTGCTGTGATTTATGGAAATCTGAATCTTCTATGTTAACTGAAATTATAATAAATGTTTCATTTATAATCTTGTTTAAATATGAAGAATTCAAATTTAGAGAAATAAAATGCATGCGACAGTTTACTAATTAATAAGTTTAATTAATTAATTGAAGAGTATCGTATGTATCATTTCATATACAATTACGAAAAATAATAAGAATCATACATCTGTTGTGCTGCACGAAATTTACGGCCATATTCGTAGGAACAAACTGCGAGGGTCCATCTTTTTTTCTGTGCCTGTCCCAAAGAAGTTTCAATTTTGCCTCTTCGGTAGCTTCAATGTTACGAATTTTAGCTCTAAAAATGAATTGTGTTTGTAAAGAAAATATCTACATTTTATACATTTTAAAATTTACATTACAAATTAATTTAATACTAATTTAATACTATATAGTCATCATACAGTATAATAACTAACTGATTGAATTTTCAACTTCATAGAATTATTTTCACACTTGCAAAATATTGTATATTTGTAATTTATATTCTTTATTATCAAATACTCACTCTATACCAAGATCAACTTCTGGAATACCAGAAAGCATTTGATTTGAAAGCATTTCCTCACTACGATTGGCTGAGCTTTGTCTCAAATGTTCTGGTACTGCGCGCAATGCTGCTTCCTCAGGTGAGCAATAAGATCCTTTTTCATTATTCGCATCATTCGCCGCATCGTTACTATTTTTACTCTTGCGCTTTGACAATTCTTCTTCTATGTACTTGACCCTAATAAAAATAATGATATAAAATTGATATAAAACATGAACAAGCAAAAAATTAATATGTTAGCTGAGTAATTATCAATGATAAATATAATAAATATAATAAATATAATAGAAGCAAACATTGTCATGCATACATTTCTTCATCTTCGTCACGTTTATTAGTCTCTGCATTAAACTGCGTTCCAATGCCAGTTTCGTATGCATCATTTGGCTTATGTTTTGTATTTTTCAGTGCAGCCATATTTATCATTCCTCCAGTTTTCATGTTAAAAGGATCTGACTAAATTAACATGTTTCATATTACATATTCTACACTGTGTTTATTGTGTTTAATTTCATTATGCATGTATAAATTCTTTTTTTATTCCCTCTGAACTGGTACAATAAGTGAAACAAATATAAGCTTGTTTCACTTCAACTTATTGCACCGTGTACATCAGTTCAAAAATACAGAAATAAAAAACAGACTTTATATATGTACATATTGTATCTTACTGTTATGGTATCAGATGCAACGTTTTCTCCGAGAGCCAACCCAACAACATCAACACCAGCTGGCCTTTCACGAAGTTTTTGAATGATTTTCATCTCCTCAACCTTTTCCCTGAAATAAGTCTTTTCCTAATCACGTTAAATCCTCCACGTTGCTTATATTGAGTTAAAAACAAAATTTGTACAATCTTTACCTGAGGGACATTTTTTCTTCCTCGCTGTCATTATCATCTGAAAAAACTTCGCGTTTCCTTAAAGGTTTCTTCTTCTTCTTCTTAAACTGGATATTAGGCGCTTCATCATCGCCACTGCCCATTTTTTATTATTTAATAAAAAAACTTATTTCCTTTCAAGTAAAACCAAATAAAATGTAGACAGGTTAATGTGTTGACGCAGAGCAACGAAGAGTCGCTGTCAATCGGTCGATAAGTCTTCATGAGAAGCATTCGACCTGATTCGATCCTGAGGTGCCGAAGAACAATGACATTATCGACAATTGATACAAATTTTATTTGTTTTATTAACATAATAATATTTGAATAATATCAAATACATTATTATAGTCATAATTTTTTATTATATAAATGTCGCATAAATAAATATGCATACTTGTAATGCTATAATATCTCATATATTGCCTCAAAATTATAATATTTTTTCTCTACAGATCTACTTATCATGTCTATTGATAATCTAACTCGGATGATAACATTAAAATAACAGTTTATTTAAATAAAAATCGAGTATTATTCAGGGTGTGTATCTACGCATAAATTATAATATTCTATGTTTATGTATAGACAATGTAAATTATTGTGTAAAGTGTCATCTACGTAGACATCTATGTATTATAAATAAAGACAATCAAATTATTAATGAAGTGAAGGTTCACAAAACTTATTGGCATTAAGGGGATTCTAAGATAGAATCTGTTTTTTTATGGCTGAATTAGTGTAAACTTTTGGAACTTAAAGTGAGATAGGTATATGTTCAATATTTGGCAAAAGCGAGAAAGAGAATTCTGCAGAAATAAAAAAAAACATAATATTTCGTGCGATCGTATTTTTCTTACGCCGATCTTCTGTTTTGATATAATAAAATGGTGGCGATTAACGTTAGAAATGCTTTACAAAATGTCGGGCGATTATTATTCTGGCAATTAGCATACATATTGATCTTAATTAACCAGTTTTTCCCACAAGTTCAGTTATGAGTGAGTGAACGCTAAAGTAATAAAAAGGGAAATTGACTCTAGAAGACATCGAAAGATGGTAAAGAATTATAGAATGAATAATTTATTATTTGTTCAATATTTTTTACTTACGGAATTAATATTTTTTTTTGCGCACTTTGTAAATTATGGTGCAGCGTATAATGCATGTGAGATGTTTCAGATTATCTTTACATGTTTAAAGTATTTAGCAAAATATTTATAACATTTATATAATATTTGTATACAAATAATTTAATCTATTAAATAAATGTTATTGTATATTTTTATATACTTAATATAATTTTTATAAGTACGTTAAATTTCAAAATGAAAATTGAACATTTTGTAATTACTTTTATTTTAAATTTAAGAATGTAAAAAATTATAATTTTTGTTTACTTCATAATTTGAATAAATTTAACATTATCGAATGCCATGTATGTGAGAAGTTTTCATATTAAAAAGAATAATTGACAAAAAAGAATGTCGGCATTTACAATTAGGTGACAAAGATAACTATGAGCACGATGGAAGCGGAACAGGAAAGATTGTAAGATACACATATAACGTGGCGAAGTGTGCTTCTACTACCGCAAGTAAGAATGAGAAGTAGGGGAATCAGTGACGGATTAACATCTGCTGAAGATTCAAAGTATTCATAAAGATTCATACAACATATTTCTTTTTTTTTCCTCAAAGTATATAATCTATTTATCTATGAAAAAGTTCGATAAAAATGTATGACATATAAAAAATTTTTTTCAAAATATTGACTATTTTTCCAACATCCATTATGTAGATCTCAGATAATGTCGATAGAATTAATCAATAAAATATGTAAAATATCAATGTAAGTCTCCGCAAAGTCTTGTTGCGTTAAATCAATAATTAAACTTTTTGAAATATCTAACATATTAAGTGAAAGATGTATATTGATAAATATATGGTATAACAGAAATGTGCTTAGACTGTAATCTCTTCTCTTTTGATAGTCTTCCAATGACGAAACAGCCAAATGATAAAACGATGGTCAAAGTGCAAAACAATAAAGCAAGAAGAGAAATTACGCCTTCCAAAGTGATAAATGTATAACAAGGTAATGTCGATAGAATTAAATAATTTAACTTCAATGGATAATGTCTTCATACTTGATGTACATCGCGTACATTACAATGTACACAAAACATTTCCTTCCCAGTAAACGAATAGATTAAAATGGATTGAAATATTTTTCTATCCTCGTATTTAAAAAAAATACCGAATACTTTTTTTTGAATTTAATTGGATTCGATTGGATTTAATTAGATTCAATCCATTTTAATCCATTGGATTGAATCCATTTTAATTCATTTCAAAATCCATTCTCGTTTGCTGAATTTTTAAAGACCTAATTTTAGATCAATTCCTCTATTTGAGATGAATTATCTAAGATCAGTCTTTTATAAAGATCGAGATAACG